TGCCTCACACTGTGTACAGAGAAGGGTTTCCCGTACAAGGGTTTAGGTGGAACACAATGGACACGAGTTCTGCTCTGGTTCTGCTTTCAGGCTCTTTAAAACAAATGTTCAGTTTGTTACTCACCTGGATTTACATAGTGTGAGTTAGGAGGGAGAGGGTGTATGTGTGTGAGCATGTGTGTAGGGGGAGGTAAAATAATATTTTGCTTTCTTTTAATTCATTCCTTTTGTTTAAAGTATGAGGAACAACAAATTTCCACATTTACTGTCTGGAATTCCTCTAGGAAACCCGGGATGGGAGACACTGGGCTGTCAGTTCCAGAAGAGTGGGGAATGGCAAAGCAGAAGGGACAGGGGCCCAGGAAGGCCAGGTGAAGGCCCTCTCTGAGACTGGCCCAGCTCAGCGGGCAGATGCCAAGCAGCCATGGTGGGCAGCACTGGGCCCTCTCAGGAGACCGCCATGAAAGCCTTTCGGCCGCCTCCTGTGCTTTAGCACAAGTGAACTGGGAAAGGACTTTCTTGAAGCAGAAACCGAGTTCACCGAGGCAGATCCCAGAGGGAGGCTTCGGGAGAGGTGTGGAGAATCTGCGACAGCTAGCGGTGGTGTGCTGAAGCCGCATAGGCAGTTTCAACGGGAGACACAGCAGGTCTCCACCACAAACACCCAGGTGGAGGGAATCCACACAGCCCCCGCCAGAGTGGGTGAGTACCAGAGCTGTTCACAGAGCAGCAGTCGGTCCTTAATGCTCTCTAGGTGCCCAGCAGCATGCTAAAGTGGGTAGACTCTGGGCTAAGCAAGACACAGGCCTGAGTTCAGAGAGCTGATGGGATCGGGTGAGGCACGTGAATGCCCTCAGCTCCTCCGGGAGTCCTGAATCCTCCAGCTTGGCACGAAGCCTTCTCTCAGAAGCTGGCTGAGGAGGGTATGGTCAGTGAGTTCTGGTGGGGGAAAGACAAAGACAGGTTCAGAAATGCACCCCACTCAACCACTTGCTGATCCCGATTCCAGGGGTGAGCAGAAGCCTGTGGGTTAGTGTGTGGGCCCTTCTAGCACTTGCACTTTCTGATGGCCTCGTATGAACCCAACAATACAGCAACCTCACCAGCCAGCAGAGTCTAGACAGAGCTGGAGAAGACTTTTCTGTAAAGGGCATAGTCTTGTTTGCATCTTTTAGGAGACATGGAAAATGCTGATAGAATTTTTATTCAGGAAAGACTCAGAAGAATTAGACAGCATTGAAGATGTACCACGGAAAGCCCAGTATTCATGGGCTGTGCTGAAATGTGTTCTTGCATGTGTAGACAAAAGCAAAAGATGAGGCGCACAGTCCTCAATGGTCTTTGAGAGACACTGTGGCTCCATAGCACCCCCCTGTACTGGAAGTTTTGCATTGACACTTACAGGGCTGCAGGCTGGGTGTCAATAAAACCCTCCTGCAGACAGAGACGGCTCTTGCTTTGGGGATAGGCAGAGGGCTCTGCTTCCTGGGTAGGCTCAGGCCCACACAGGTGCAAAGGTCTGCCTCCCTCACAGCAGGTGTGCGGAGCAAGGACGGGCATGCTCAGAATCTAGAGCACCTTCTTCTTGAACTCCAGGAGCAGTACATTAATGAGGAGAACAAAAAGGACATGGTACTACGCATAACACTCGGAAACGTACTTCTTGCACTCCGTGGCTGTGCCAGGAGAGAGTTTGCAAGCGCCTCCTTCCCTCTCCATCCTGCCCACGGGCAGCTGACATTTTCTCCATCTGATGAAGAGGTCTCGGCAAGGCCTCTTGACCTTTCCCACCAGATATTCGTCCCAGGCATTCCTGCAGCAAACCGCGTGAGCCAGGCTGAAATCACGGGTAACATTTCTGTCACACTTCTCTACCCACAGGGTGGCCAAGGCTCGAAATACTCTTTAATTATGAGGTTTTTTGCAAGCAGTATCTTGGGTTATGATGGATGGAACTAGGATTTGTTTAGAAATGTACAGAAAAAAAGAAGCAGTCTGGAAGGAAAACAGCGCAATGGAGACATCATATTGCCCAAAGTGCCCTGACCAGACTAGCCATTCATTCTCTCTCTGTCTCTGTCTCTGTCTCTGTCTCTGTCTCTGTCTCTGTCTCTCTCTCTCTCCCCCTGTCTCTCTCTCTCTCTCTCTCTCTGAGTTTGACTTAAACATTTAAGACTAATCTTGATCTAACTTCACAGAATGGAACAAAAGATGACAATAGCTCGCTGCCTTTAGGGACCCTGTGGAGGTGAGTGTCTTTCTCTTCAAGGAGCCCCAAACCTGTCCTAACTCATTTAAAACAAGCACTGTCTTGGAAACATTTAGTGGGGAAGGATGAGGGCCTGACTGCTAAGGGTCTCCAACTTCAGCTTAGAATTGGCAGCAGCCCAGTGACGTCTCTGATCTCCAAAGCATCATTCACTGGGAACAAGGAACTCTGGCGAGTTCGGAGATGATTAGTTGCCGCATGGCATGTCCCATCAGTTAGCCTCTTGGAGGGCTAATCCTGGCCCAGGATATGGACAAAGCTGTTCATGTAAATCACTCTAATCCTCAGACAGATTCTGATCATCCTGCCCCTCTCTCCTTGATCCATCTTCTGTTTCCATAGCAGCTAAAACCTCGGGAAAAAGGCTGCATCTGGCCCGGTGCAGGTGGAGTTCTCTGGGGAAGGGCATCTGCCCGATGCCCACAATGGAGGAAGGCAGGACTCCAAGACACTGCAGTGTGAGTATCAAGAAGGCACGAGGAAGAGGCTCAGCTCTCCAAGGGAGACCCCAGGTGAGTGTAAAACAGAAACAGGGGTACGGGGAGGAGTAGTGTGGAAAAGACTAAAAGTGAGGCAAAGACATTCAGAAGATGATGAGAGAAGAAGGCAAGTACAGAACCAAAAAGTGTAAGGGAAAATGCGCATATCGAAGGGCAGGAAATTGCAGAGCTCAAGGGCACCCACTATGGACAAAGCGCTGACCGTCCAGAGGCAGAATTAAGAAAAGACATCAAAGCGGACACAGAGTTAGCTTCTTGGCATGAGGCGAAAGAAATCTACCCTGATGATAAATGTTCCACAGATCATAAGGTACAGACCGCCCTGGCACCGGCAGCATGGGGATTGTGCATGTAGCTGTGATGAATGGCATGGACTGCGGGCTTAGAGTCTGTCCTTAAAACAGCCCCTCCTGTGGAAGTGCCCAGGGCCATTCTACATCACCAAGGTTGCAGTGCTCAGCTAAGCCACTACCCGGATGTGGGAACTGTCCACATATGAGTTAATTTCAAATGGAGACACTGGCAGAGACACAAGTAGCTCTCACTGATCTCTGTGTTTGCAGGGGTAGTATCAATGACAGTGGCCTAGGACAACTCGCAAGAATTCAGGACAAGGTAGTGACCCTTGCACCCCTTGTCTGAGACCAGCTATCAGCATATACTGTGAGCCTGAGAGAGGTGAAATTCAGCTCTTGAGGACCACCGAAGCCTTCTTCTGCTTTGCTGGGATGTTCCATTGCAGTGGGCACTCAGATGTGCTGACACTTGCAGGAAGAGAGACTATGCCACAGGAAGGACAGGCGTGGGTGGGCGGCCGTCAGCTGTCAGCCCTTTGCATGGCTGCTCTGCAGTGCAAGCTGACACCTGGCCCAAGGTTCTAGCGCTCTGGAAGCCAGCCTAGATTCAGCGGTGGGTTGCTATGTTGACATAGAGGACTAGCCCCATGACCTCCGCAGAGGACACTTCTGGAGGCCACCCCGGCTTCAAAACTCCCGAAGCTCGGCAGAGATGTTCCACAGAGCACGTCACAGCTCAGGTTCTCCTTGCACCCAAACTTTCCTCTCCACTCTTCCTTTCTAACAGAATTGATCTCAAGAGCATTTTCAGGCGAGTTCCACACCAACCACTTTCTCTAAGTGTTAAGGCGCAGTAAACAAATTATGTCTGCTGTGGTGCCTTCAGGTTCCTTAAGCCTACACTGCCCAGCTGGACGCACACCTGCACTATCTACTTATGCACGTGCACACACACACACACACACACACACACACACACACACACATCCACACTTGCCAGTGACAGGCAGCGAATTTCAGGACCTCTGTTCAACTACTTGCTCATCTGCCAGCATTATGGAGACTTTGCTTTACCAAACGCCGTGTCATTCGGTCAAAGCACTGAACTCGCTTCTCAGTGCCTACTATATGCCACACCCACTTAGGCACTGTTTGCCATCTGTCTCATGAGATATGAATTCAAGGGAAAATAAATTTGTCAGCTTGAGTTCACTGCTAAATTCCCCAGTGCCTAAAACAGAGCTGTGGCCACTGTAACTATCAGTTAATACTTAAGAATGAATGGAACAACTTTATGTCACTTGCTGCTAATAAATGCTAGCTAAATGACAAATAGCATCTTGTCTTAACTTCTAACAGTTCAAATATTCAGTCCTCAAAAGCACAAACCACTCAATCTGGTCTGCCTAACATCTGAACATTCGAACCGAATGAAGTTGGCAATCTAGTCCCACATTAAGCTATATCTATTATCTCAGATCAATCAGAGAAAAACAATAAAACCACAAAAACAAACAATGACCGGATTGTTGGCAACACTGAAGAGGACAGCCTAGGAAGTGGCTTTGCTCGAATCTGGTCACGTAAAGCTGTCATCATCATCATCATTTGTGCACGTTTTCTGTCTCTCAAAGCTGCCAGCCAAGCAACGCCCGTGAGGTAGGTCCCTGTGTTCTTAAACCTGACATGCCAGAGCACCTCAACCACCACTTTACCCAGAAGCAACGGCCACTGATCTATGCAGCACTGGAGAGAAAGTCAGGCGTGATTTCTGAAATCTTAGGGGACACGACTGTCTCGAAACAGCAACCTCTCTGCAGAGCCATGTGCTCCTGCCTCAGACGGAGGCCTGCGGGATCACAGCCAGGCCCTGAGCCCCACCCCTGGTCCCTGCCAGTGTGCGCTCATGAGACCATGACAAGACGCTGCTCTTACCTTTCGGGGAGATGTGTCTCCAGGTGACTGTAGGCTCTGGCCTGCCTGTTGCTATGCAGGTGAGGCTAATATTGTTCCCTTCGTTGATGGAGATATCTGAAGAAATTTCTACAATTTTGGGCGATACTGTGAAGACAAAACAGGCAGAAGGAAAATAAGAATCCTGTGGCACATTCGTCTGTTGCCCTAAAATGGCAGTCGACAGACTAGCACAGAGACGGAAGAGCACGGACTACATTTGCAAATGATGAGAAATTAGAAGAATTGCCTCAAAAATGGAAAGCATCCTAGCCTGAATTTAGCTTACGTTTCCTCCCTATAGGGATCCCACTGCCAGGCTGCAGCAACCGTTCCTCTAGCCTGCACCTTTTCCCTCGCCACTCTCACCCCACCCACCTGCACCACACAGCCACGAGTCATTCTTCTCACTTCATGCCGAGATGCCTTTATGGAATGCGAGTCTGGTCGTAGCTGCCTGAGCAGCTCAGCTTGCTCTGCATTCCCTGCCTGGTCATAAGTAGGCTCCTTCCCTTGAGTACAAGGCCATTCCGATTCAGCCGTCGGCAGATCCTCCCAGTGCCACCTCCGGGGTACTTCCCTGCTAGTGCACTAGCTATCCCATCATGTCTTTCTAGGTCACCTGCCTGCAGATCTCCATTGTTTTTTGTTGTTTTTCTAGTTGTTTATTTGGTACAGGGTCTCACTATTCAGCTCACACTCATAGCAATCCCTCTGTTTTCAGCCTCCCCAGCACTTGGGATTACAGGCATGGGCCACCATGCCTGGAGTTGGTTGCTGGTTCAGCACTTCCTGGGGACAGGGCCAGCACAGCCTGCAGGACTGGGGAGGTAACCCTGGTTCCCGTGCTTGCCAAAGCAGGCACTTTGTCCACTAAGCTATCTCACTAGCCAGCCACTATTCTTTACATCTTTCCTGGGAAGTTCCCAGTCATGCTTTGGAGCCTAGCTGAAAGGCCATTTTCTCTGTTGCAGTTCCCACTACTACAACTCCCCATCCTCTTTAAAGTCTCAGATTTGGTGCTTCCTGTGCAAGTGAAAATAACGTCAGCTGGCCAGAGCGCACCTGGCCTCCCTCTGTGTCCCCGCCTGTATGGTGCTTTCCACAGAGACAGTATTTTCATCTCGATGGGGACAAGACGCTCACCTCCCATAGTCTTTTACGTTAGCTCCTTGACGCTGTCGTGTTGCTCTTTCTTCTTTTTCCTGAGCAGCACCCCCAGGGGCAGGGTCTGTGCTGCAGGACACACTGCCTGTGTACACCTGTCTCGCTCCTGGGTCCCATCTGAGAAGCTCATCATTGCAAGATGGTTTATAATTCAACTGGATAACGTGAGAGCACCACTGATTAAGCTACCAAATTCCACTTATAGACAGTACAGTACAGCTGTTTGCTTAGCATTACTTGCCCACTGGGCCACGGGCTTTCTGCCACCCTGAACCATGACTTGCTTATATTTGCCTTCACAGTAAAAGCTCAGCTTACACTTCTGTGACTGAATTGTAAGGGCTTCTTGAGAGGTCCACCTTTACAACCTGCCCCATGCTCCCTGAAGTCTCAGAGTGAGGTCTTTAGCACACAGCATTTTGGTCTCACTGACACTGGATTGGACAGTTGCATTCTTGGAAAGTCGACAGGCCTCTCCCTCCCGTGCTCTGACGCTTCTCTACCTGGCCTTCTTTCCTTGCCTCTGCGTTCTGTGGAGCCCAAGGCTCCAAGGGTGACCCCAAGGCTCAGTGTCCTCCCAGCACACAACGCCGTCTGCACTGCCAGTGAATGCAGGGAAGCTGCAAAAACCTTTATTGTTTATTTAAAGGCTGGAGTTACAAGGCTACTAAAGTCAGATCGCTTCAGAAATCTCAACGCTGGCTTTTCCTCTCACTCAGCCACTGCTCACACTCCTCCCGAAGGAAAGTGGGCGTGGCGGAGAGCTCTTCTCTCCGTCCTCCTTCTGTCCCTCCTCAGTAGTTCCCTCCAGGTACTTCTTACATTGCCCAGAATGGGGACACTCATGGCTCATAGCACGTGCTGCTCCCTTGTGTCCTCATCCCCAGTCTATCATGTGCAGGTGCTTTGCTTGGACTATGAGTATTATGATCACTGGAGGCCACGGCGATTGTCACCCTTCTTACACAGCCTTCTAGAGGAGCCCAAAGGAGTGAGCTCGCTTTCCTGGTGAGCAGACAGCATCACAGTGTCTTCCATGTGACGCTTCTACGCAGGGCTCTCTTAGGTTACATTTGTTTCGCCTTTCCTTCTGTGCCATAAATTATCCGGCTATAAGATGTTAATTATGTGCTTTACTCATCACTTAATTTTCTGCTATCCTGAAGAGGGTGTCTTGCATAGAGTAAGCACCAATTAATCATTTGTAGGTTTAAGTCTACACTGGGCTTCAGATAAAGAGGCAGTGAGTGTGCACGTGTGTGTGTGTGTGTGTGTGTGTGTGTGTGTGTGTGTACATAGGTACCTGCATTTTTGAAGATATTTGGTGGGACAGAAATAATGGACAGTAGCTGTGAGGGTTGCACAGAGACTTTGACTTTACATCTGGGACTTCCAATATATAACATTGCAATTTATGGCTGTACCACTGAAAAAGACTAGATTGGGCCTTCCAGGACAGAGAAGTAATTGATGAGTTAATGACTGAGGGTTTGATTTGCTGACTTCCTGAAGGGTACAATTTTCTAAATTCTCTTCATTCTAAAATTGTTTAAACTGATCTTGCAGAAGTAAAAACTTTGACGTATTTTATTTACAGAGCTTGAGCCAAAGCATCCCCTGCCCATGCAGTCTCCCCATACCTAGAAGCTCCCCAGGAGCTCCTGCCTGTCCCTGGCATCCATACAGCCCTGTTTGTCTCCCAGAAGACAGGCTGCCTGCAGAATGTCTTGCTGGCCTTGCAGGCATCGCCCCTACTGTGCAGGTGAGTAATTTATTGATCTGTAAAGCACTCTGAGATGCTCTGCAAGGGATTATGTCATGCCAATGCCATGCAATAAAATAAAAAATGATGGACTTCGTGAACACAGGGTGATTTAGGGTTTGTAGTTGGAAGTGTGCTTAAAGTACATTTTAAGTGGAAATCAGGCTGGGTAATGAATTACTCTTGCTTTGGAAGGGCTTACTGGGAGTTCATTTTCCTGGCTTCTTACATGATAGCTAATCTGCTAATCATACACTAGAGAACAATGGACAGTCCCCAAGCAGGATGGGAGGTGGCTGGGGCCAGAGCTGTCGCATAGCCAGTATATTAAATGGGATAATCACACCTCATGCTTGGAAGAATCATCTAGAATTGTCTCCCCCTCACCCGCAGCAACTCAAAGTATCCAACTCATGTAGTAGAAACTGGGGAAGTGCTTGCCATCCTTTCAGGCCTGCCTAAGACAGCGTGAAGGTGGAAAACTGCTCTAGATGCATGTGAAAGGCAGTCCATGCAGGCAACAGAGGCAGGTGTCCTCGCGGGAGGTGCAATCCCAACTGTCAATGCTAAACTGGCATATAGTGCATAAGGCGTGAGGGGATTGCAAGTGCCACTCTCTAGGTGGCAACTTCTAGCACACTGTCAGTATTCAAGATTAAACTGGACATTGTGGTTACAGCACAGAGGGAAGTGATGCCTCAGTGTGTGCAAGGTCCCGGGTCCAATTCCAAGCAATACAAACAAGTGAGATCCAATGGATAAGAGCGCAGTATTGTTTTAGCTAATTTGTGTTCATAAAGAAGCGTTTACAAGGTTGAGAGGCAGGTCACTCACATTTTTGTACTGTTCCCATGTGTCTGTTTCGTATCCTGCATCTCATCATGCAGGCTATGGTCATTTGTTCATTCACTCACTCATTCATTCTGCCAGTGTTCACAGGCCACTTGCCATGAGCTGGTACTGTGCTAAGCACTGGAAGCATCCACTGGGGAGAACAGTCCTGTCCTGAAGGAGTCCACAGTAGAGATGTGGAAACAGTTGAAAAGTCCAATCTTTCAATGTGTTATGACAGGCAAGGATGAATCAGATGTCACAGAAATGCAAAGGATAGACACTCAGTTCCCCTGTAGATGGATGTCACAGAGGCTCCTTGCACACAGAAGGAGTATATTAAGCTTTAGGAGATAAGGAAAATTGGTCAAGTCTTGGAAAAGAGCAGAGATGTTCTAGGCAGATGAAGCAACATAAGGAAAGCACTCAGGAAGACAGATTTTTTTCATTTATTTATTGGATACAGGGTCTCACTATGCAATTCAGACTCAGTGATCCTTCTGTCCAGCCTGTCCAGTGCTGGGATTGCAGGCCTGCATCACCATGCCCAGTTTGGGGGTTGGCACTGTATGGGATACCAGGGATCGGGATTTAAGAGCAGTGAGCTATTTCCCCAACCCCAGAAGACACAACTTTTAATGGCAGAAGTCTCCTTTTGGGACTGGGCTAAAAGTCATTCAACAAACCTTGTGTGAACGCAGACCATATACAAAACTGTGTACCATGTCTGAGTGATCCTCCATGAGCTCACCATCTGAGGAAAGAGCGCATCACTGACTAACAAAGCAAAGCACACCAGGAAGTTGTGTGCAAACGAGTGTAAGATAAGTGAGGCACACATTGAGCTTCGTGAGCTGCTGGAAGGCTGCGGCACGCACCAGTGTCAGAGGCACCTTCACCAAGCACCAGTATTTGAAGAGCAACACTCAAGGAAGGATCATCTAGCAAATAAGAACAAAGTGAAGCTACTTCAGATGCGGTGGGAGCGCGCTGCACGGAGGGGAAGGCAGGAATCTGTGAAGCACGCTAGGATGTGCATTCTAAAGGGGCAGTTTAGAGCAGGGCGGAGATGCTGGGTCCACTGCATTCCAACTGGCATCCATGGCCGATGTGACTCACCTCTCTGGGCATCACCTTCCTCACCTACAAAATGGAACTAATCCTTCCATAGGATCATGGGGCTCAGTAGCTGCTTCTTAGGAATTAAGAATCAATTTTCTGAAATGCTCTGAGAGTGGTTTCCAGCAATGTGCATTGCTCAATAAATGGGTTTTAATACCATATGTGGTTGGCAAATGTGCATTTGCAGTGTCAATTTAGAATAGACAGTCAATAAATTTTCTAAGAA